AAAGTCGGTTTGTCGAGCAACCAATCCAGCGAGAATTTCAAATGAACAGCCGTTCGGAATTCTTCTAATGCGTGGAAGGAACTTCTTGTGCAGCTGAGAGACCCTTAATGCGCGGGCAACCTGGACCCTAGTCGAATCTCTCTCTCAACGGGTCCTCCCCATAGTCTTCTAACACCAACTCTTCACACATACTAAGGTACCCCGGTTAAACTCATCGACTTGACTAGATCGTCGATACTGTCCATCTTCACTGTTTTCCATGGATTTTTACAAATATCCTCTTTACCAAATATCCTCTTAACATAAATCTAGTTGGAAGAGGAACCTTTCTATATAGAATGAATACTTGCTAAAAGCAAGGATTTGAGATATTTATTCAATAGTGGAAACACCCTTAAAACGAGAATTCAGAGTCATAATTCTTAAAACAAGGGATGTAAATCTTATTTTTAATGGTGGTATTCTTAAACTGAGGAACTTTCATTGGAGAGTATAAAATTCTTAAAAGCAGAAATCTTGATCCTTACGTTTCAAGGAATAGAGTACCGAGGTGTGACGTCACGTTACCATGGAAGCACTTTTTGCTGGTTCTAAACAAACCAGCGTGGATTCAAGATGGCGGCTATTTCGATAAGTTCACTCCCTTCATTTTTCTCTGATGAGCCCTCAAGGATTCAACGTGGCGAAAATCATTACAAATCGGGTGATATTGAGTCTTGTTATTATTCGGACGGAATTATTCGAGGGTCTGTGCAAGCTAGCATGAAGAACAAGTCCTATAAAGTCGCAGTGAGTAAAACTTTAGCGAACACGACGCTTAATTCAAATTAATTCTTCAGATTTTTAGATTTGTTATTTATTTGACTTTTTTTTTAAATAGATCAACCTTCATGGCAGTGAAATATCATCAACGCAGTGTAATTGTCCTCGTGGAGAGTATAAATGTAGCCATGCTGCGGCTCTTGCAATTTATTGCATCCATGATATAAGCAGGACGGACGTCCAAAGTGAGTGGAAAAAGCAAAAAGCTCCAGACAAAACTATGCCAGTAGAAGAAATATATCCATCCTCGAAAGAGTATATTTGCTTAAAAAGAGAAGTAACAGATGAAGATGGTGCTTGGCTATATGGAGAGCTTAAGAGATACGGTAATTTTACTGGTACTTTATGGATTCTTTCACCCGAACCCGAAGTCAACAATCAATTGCCAATACTCACTGTGGAAAGTATTGTTACTTCAAAGGAGTTTATAAACTATGAAGGA